CCTCAGCCTTCGCTTTGTCAGACTAAACAGGCCAAGCTCCTCTAGTCTCCTTTCATACGACAGGTTTTCCATTCCTCTGATCATCTGATCGTACTCGTACGGTTGTCTACATTAAAGCATGTAAATTGCAAATATAAAATATTTTTATCAGGTATCAGAACTGAAAAATTGGAGTATGTCTGGAAAGATGTGCACAAGGATTTAGCTGGAAAATTTGCCTTACTATAACATCTTGAAAAATGCATATAGAGACACACCAGACATATAATGTACCTCAAGGAAAACTTCCTATAAGGAGAGGGAGACTAAAACACTTGCCACACAGATCTAATTTCTCTGTGCAGCGCTTAGATACTCTGCAGAAAAGGACCTGGGGATTATAGTAGACGAGAAACTGGATATGAGTCAGCAGTGTGCCCTTGTTGCCAAGAAGGCCAACGGCATATTGGGCTGTATTAGTAGGAGCATTGCCAGCAAATCGAGGGAAGTGATTATTCCCCTCTATTCGGCACTGGTGAGGCCACACCTGGAGTATTGCATCCAGTTTTGGTCCCCCCACTACAGAAGGGATGTGGGCAAATTGGAGAGAGTCCAGCGGAGGGCAACGAAAATGATTAGGGGGCTGGGGCACATGACTTACGAGGAGAGGCTGAGGGAACTGGGGTTATTTAGTCTGCAAAAGAGACGAGTGAAGGGGGATTTGATAGCAGCCTTCAACTACCTGAAGGGGGGTTCCAAAGAGGATGGAGCTAGACTGGTCTCAGGGGTGGTAAATGACAGAACAAGAAGCAATGGTTTCAAGTTGCAGTGGGGGAGGTCTAGGTTGGATATTAGGAAACACTATTTCATTAGGAGGATGGTGAAGCACTGGAATGGATTACCTAGGGAGGTGGTGGAATCTCCATTCTTAGGGGTTTTTGAGGCCCTGGCTGAGATGATTTAGTTGGTGTTGGTCCTGCTTTGAAGAGGGGATTGGACTAGATGACCTCCTGAGGTCTCTTCCAACCCTAATATTCTATGATTCTATGACGGCTAATACTATTGTATCACTGAGGTACTTACATATTACAGAGATAAGGCCTTTGTAAGTACCAATGCTTTAGTTATAAGGTATATAGTTGTGTTCATGCCATACCAGCTCTCTTGGTAAAGGGAATAGAAGGTGTTTCGAGTACCATGAATTTAGTCCTTCTCCATGCAAATGTAAGCCCCGCTTCTAAAATGTCTCCAGATACCATTCCAGAAATATTAGATGCCCTTGGCTCTTTGTGTTCCTCCCTCATAGTTAAAGAAAACCCATCCAGAGCATTGATACTGAAATCATAAGTTTGCCACTTTCTGTAGTGAGTGACCAAGAAATTGACCATAGTAATGCCCCATTTAAAATTAGATAAGAGCAAACAGAAATTGAGCAAAATAACTCTAGTCCTTTTCTACCTGGCATCAAATCAACTTGTAAAGGCAACTCAAAGAGAGCTAATTAAATGAGTCCTAAAACTAGGCAGTGCGACAATCAATGTTTGAATGAATACCAAGGTGAACGGGTTATAGTGGGTGCTAATTCAACCCTGGAGTCAGAATGCTGCCAGCAATTCACATAACTTACGCTAATAGTTACAAAAGTCAGAGCCGTATGAACAAGAAAGTAAAAATCTCTCTGTGCTTATTCAGCAAAATAGATGGATAAGCAAGGTGTTTTCATCTGCCATTTGGTTTGCTTTGCAGGGGATAAAGGTCTTCGAGGGTCTAAAGGATCACCAGGTTTGCCAGGAAAGGCAGGAGAACCAGGCTCGCCTGGACAGCCTGGATACCCAGGAGAAAAGGTTTGATTTAGAAACACACCCCAAGCTTAATCAGGGCTGCTTGTCAGCAAGCATGTTTCCAAACAAATTAAGCAAATGAGAGATCTAAGGAGCACAGGATTTGGTTTCTAATTGTGAAAACTATCTACAAGGCCATAATTCCTGAAAGCATCACTGTTCAGGAACAGTGATTAAACATATGCTTACATCCCACTCAAGTAAATGGGACTTAAGCATATGCTAATGTCAATCATATGCTTAAGTGCTCTCCTGAATCAGGACATTTAAAAAAAAAACAAGGTCAGAGGCCGCAGGTGTAATCAAAAATGCAGATAAATGAGAGCTCAGCTACTAACGCCATTTTTGATGTTAGGGCTTTGCTGTTTGCTGTGTCATCAAGCCCCAAAAGTGGTTTTGTTTTTAATAAAATAAAACACATTTCTTTGCATCAGACTGGCTTTCTGTCTTTTCTGCTTGGTCCTATTTTGCTATCTACTCTGATTATTTGTTTGGTTGCTTAAAGTCACCTAAATGGAATGTAAAAGATTAAAAAGGTAACACACACAGCCCATAAAATGTCCAGGTATGGAACTAGTCAGCAAGATTCCACCTGCCCCAGTAACGTAGGACTTACTTCGGTTTATGGCAGCCTTCGGAAAGGCCTTTGTGGTCTAAATACACAATCAGTAATTGCATATAAACTAAGTTCCTCTGGATGTGATTTAGCTCTTTGGGGCAGGGACTGCCCTTTTCTTTTGTGTTTGTACAGCATCTAGCACAGTGGGGTCCTGGGTTATGACTAGGGCTTGTAGGCTCTGAGGTGGTGGTAATAATAATAATAATTAATAATAATTAATAAATTGTTGAATTTACCTGCTTATTTGAAAGCCAGTCCAAAGCAGTTGAGTCAGCTTGTCAAAAAGAGCAGGTCAGACTTTCCTGTCAGGAATTTTTCTTTCATAGAATTTTCCTTTTGAAGAAAACAGCCTCACCTAACATATGTCAGGGTATTTCTGAGGCATGGTATCTGAGTGCTGACCCATGTACTGAACCTTGTTCTCATTCTCTGTTAGTGGCAGGGCTAGTACCAAATCAGATTGCTTGATTTGCTGGCCCATTATTTAAATATATATTTAGCCAAAAGTATGAATGCTGGGTAATGTGAAGTTAAGTGTAGAACTTGAATGACTGATACTTGAGTTGTCTGAAGTACAGGTGCAGCAGGATATCTGAGAGCTGCAGAGGCAGAGAGCGGGATGGGACTACCTTCTATTGTTCAACAATGATTCTTCCAGCTGTGTGGGGAAGCCCTGCTCATGTAGAATAATAATACTAAACCAAGAGCAAGAGGTGTAAAGGGGTGTTTGGTGGGGAGGGGAGAAATGTATTTTCAGTGCTTTGACATAAATGTGAAAGATCCCCTGGGAGTGGAGATAATAATTTGACAGAAGACATGAACTACTGACAGGACAGAGAGAGTCATATTTTCAGATTTACAAAATGTAATCTACATTCTGCATTTATGTTTTTCCTCTGTTTCAGGGAGACCCTGGATTAATTATTCCTGGCCAACAGGGTGGATTAGGTTCCCCAGGACAAGGCGGCTTTCCAGGGGTAAAAGGTGACAGAGGAATTCCAGGTCTACCAGGATTCCCAGGACATAATGGTGCTGATGGGCCAAGAGGTATTGTCATTAACAAAAAACAGCCAAGGAACTCTTTACCTTACACCCATTTTGTTAAGCGAGGCTCTAAGAAAAGGGGGGAAAGGACAAGTTTATTGTCCACCTACAAAAATTCAAGTAGTAATTAATTTAATGTTTTCTCTCTCTTAGGAGAACCTGGCTGTCCCGGAGCTCCCGGAGAAAAGGGACTTCCAGGGAAGCTTGGTGATTGTCTTATTGGTCCACCAGGTCTCCCAGGTGCACATGGTTTAACAGGTCAACAAGGTAGGAATACACAGAATACCTGCCAGATCTGCCTGATATATAGTTGACTGAGTGGGGTTTGGTTTTATTTTTACCCTACAGTTGCCTAAATGATGATGAAAAGGTCTTATGGATATTTGATGTAATATTATGCAGAGAATATTAGACCAGTTAAAGGCCACAATTCTGCAATATGATCTCCATAGGCAGACCTTAACAACAGCATGGAGTCTGATTGGACTTCATGTAGGGGATCACATTTCAGTGCTGGGTCCTAACACATTAGTGACATACGGCCATATGCTCCCTGCTGCTTACACAACACAGAGAAGAGCAGACTGGCTCAGATTACATAGGAGATCAGAGGGGGTGTCATGCAGAGGGGAAAGGAATGTCACATGGTCCCCCTCCCCAGCACATGTGATGGAGCTCAACTTTGTATGGCAGAAGGGGATATGCCTAGGGTGAGGAGTCACAGAGCCTGTGCAAACATGTGCTTATTGAAGTTAATTGGGAATTACAGTGCTTTAAGCAATCAAATTTGCTGCTGCTGGTCCAAATCCCTTACCATAGTTCTCTGCGCCATGGAGAAAGCTTTGTGGATGGCTGACCCTAGAAGTAAAATGAGGCAATATCATTGTCCAGAGTGGGAGCTGGGGCACAGAAGTGGCAGAGAAGAAGGGTCCTGCTAGGGGGAAACCAGATCCATGGGTTTGTCATCTGTGGCTCCTAGCATCTGCATTTATTGCAGAATACCTCCCTTCCTGAAGGAGACAGTGTGGCAAAGTAGCAATGCAGATGTGTCTTCCTCTTCTGTGTCTTTTAAAGGTGACCTCAAAAGATTTTTAATATATAGATTTTTAGGGCTGTCAAACAATTAAAAAAATAATCCCAATTAATTGTGAGATTTTAAAAAGTAGTTCAGATTAATCACAGTTTTAATCCCACTATTAAACAATAAGAGAATACCAATTTAAATTATATATATTTGATGTTTTCCAACATTTTCAAATATATTGATTTTAATTACAACACAGAATACAAAGTGTACAGTACTCACTTTATATTATTATTTTTATTATAAATATTTGCACTGTAAAAAATCTACAAGTTGAAGCATGAAGGAGCATATGAATGTTTAGCACATCTAGCATGCAAATATCTTGCAACGTCAGCTACAACAGTGCGATGCAAATGCCTGTTCTCATTTTCCAGTAACATTGTAAATTAAAAGTGAGTAGCATTATCTCCTGTAAATGTTAACAAACTTGTTTGTCTTAGTGATTAGTTGAACAAAAGAAATAGGACTACGTGGACTTGTAGGCAGTAAAGTTTTACATTATTTTGTTTTTGAGTGCAGTTATGTGGGGAAAAAATCTACATTTGTGAGTTGCACTTCCACGATAAAGATATTGTACTACAGTACTTGTGTGACGTGAATTGAAAAATACTATTTCTTTTGTTTGTTTTTTTACAGTGCAAATATTTGTAATCAAAAATAATAATATAAAGTGAGCACTCTACACTTTATATTCTGGGTTGTAATTGAAATCAATATATTTGAAAATGTAGAAAAACATCCACAAATATTTATAATAAATTTAACTTGGTATTCTACTATTGTTTAACAGTGCGAATCAAACAGCAGCAACAAGGGCCGGGTTCAGTATCTAGGGGTTCCTTTTCAACAATACAACACAAAACCGGCTCGAGCCCCCAGCCAGTGACCTGGGACAATTACACACCACTCCTTGGGCGCCTCTAAGAGGCAATGCTTCCCCTCTCGCAAGCACAGAGTCCGAATGATGCAAAAACTTTTAATAAAAGGAGGGAATTAACTCCGCATTAATTTGGGGAAACACCACAACTAGGGTTCATAAACACAAACCATGAACAAAAGACCCACCCCCAGTGTCCTTTTCCACTCGCTCGTTGCCCCAACAGCCAATTGTCATGCCTTTGCAGGGCTCTGCTCTGGCCCTCTCCACCAGCTTCTCTGCTGGCCACTTGCCATGCTTCTGGGCCAGCCGCCCTGCTGGCCACCTGCCACACCTCTCCGCCAACTGCCCTGCTAGCTGAGTTTCACAGGCATGACTACAGGACCCAGTCTGGTGTGGTTTTCTTCACAGGAGATTACATATATTTACTGTATGCCATGTATTTGTTTTCTTAGGAGAAAGAGGTGTACTAGGATCAAAAGGAGACCCCAGTATTCCAGGCTTGGGTGTCCCAGGATTCCCTGGACAATTTGGGCTGCCTGGATTGCCAGGTCGCCAAGGAGACACAGGATCGCCTGGTCTCAAGGGTCAGCCTGGCAGACCAGGAATACCAGGTGCACCAGGTAAGGATTTTCCAGATACATGTTTATACCACCCTTTGTTATAACTTGGCTATCATTTCTTTCACATAGAAACAGAAGAATGGTTCCTCCCAGTACAGACAGAGCTTCTCTGGCAGCTATGCTTCTGGATGGTGTTCTGATTTATACAGAAAACAAATGAGTGTGTTCTGCCCAGACTGATCAGCAGACCTTGGTACAAAATGTCTGGAGGCTCCAATACAGTGCTTCTTGGCCAAGAGGATGTTCCAGGATCCTCCTGCTCACTATGTTCCTCCATCTTCCCAGGAAGTAATCCAAAACTTCCCCTGCAGTCTGTAAATTCAGTATGCTGCTAATTATTGAAATATTGATGTTGCCAAATCTAACTTTCTGCTGGCCCATCCCCCTGTACAAGAAACAGTTTTCGTTCTACAGAAATTCTCCCTATCTGTTTTTAGGTTTTTACCTAGTATATGTCCTTCCTTCTGACTTCTGCAGTGCTAGAGGCCCTCTTTGCCTTATAAAACTTATTCCTGTAAATGCCATCTTCCTTATTTTATCTTAATTTCAGTACAGTGAAAGGAAATCCATTATTCATTTGTTTACTTTAATGTGTTCAAATACTGAATCTGATGCATGGATTTATAAATACATAACTGAGATTAGAATCTGTCTCCCTCCAAGGGTTAACCAGAGCTTCCCCTGTTTCTTGGAATGGGCATCCCCATAGTTGTTAAATAATATGTTCTTAATGGTTTTAAAATTTGTGAGGAGAAAGGATGAAGTCAAGTGTGCACTGCTTCTTATTTACAGCCAAAGACTAAATCCTTCATTTTTTCAATGCCCAGTATATTATGCATATCTTTTGTAAAATACAACCCATAAAATTAATTATAGAAATATAGTGTGTCTGTAGATAATCTCATTAAATATTGTCTGTTAAAAGCCAAGGGTCAGATGCTGCAAGCCTTACTCACATGAGTAACATTTGGGGATATTATACATGTAGGGACTACTCACATTACTTAGGGTTGCAAGACTGGGCCCTAAAGAATGTTAAGTAAATGAGAAAATAATTAAAAATAAAAGAGAAAGTGATTACATAGTTAGGCATTTACATACCACATATCACTACAAGTAATTAGCCACAAACAAATATACATACATATTTACAAACATTTATTTTTCAAAACTAATGTTCTGGGAACACTTTACTAAGCAAACACTTCAGAAACATGCTTTATATTTCTCCATTTCCCCAGGCCAAAGAGGAGAACGAGGTATAATGGGCAATTTAGGAATTCCTGGACCTCCTGGTGTCTTTGGACACCCAGGCATTCCAGGAAACAGAGGTGAGTTGCTATAATATTTACCTTATCTAATTATTTAAGAACATAGGAATTGCCATAGTAGATCAGACATGTGGTCTGTTTAATCCAGGATCTTGTCACCCACACTGAATCATATGCTTCAGAAGAAGATGCAAGAAATCCCAGACTAGGCAAATGTGGTATAATCTGCCCCCCAGGAAGGTCTAAACTTTATCCCTAATAGCTAGAGATTAATTAATTAAAACTTGAAACGTGATATTTTTATCCCTTCCAGAATGCTTTTTCTTAGCATTAACTATTATAACTCTGAATATCCTTGTTACACAGGCGCCATCTTCCTCCTCACGCTGGGGGTGCTCAACTCCCACTCTGCCCTAGGCCCCACCCCCATTCTACCCCTTCCTCCAAACCCCCACCCCCACCTCTTCCCACCCCCACTCTGCCCCAGGCCCTGCCCGCACTCTACCTTCCCCGAGCACCCATCTATGCCTTCGTATGTAGATAAATGTCCAGTCTTTGAATCTTGCTAAATTCTTAGCCTTAATGAGTTCCACAGTCCACTTATAAATTGGGTGAAAAAGTATTTCCTTCTATCAGTTTTGAATTTGAAACCTTTTAATTTCATTGAATGTCCTCTTGTTTTGTGTTATGAGATGAGGAGAACAGAAGTTCCTCACCTACCTTCTCTAGACCATCAACTTTTTAAAATACTGTTATCAAGTCCTTTTTATTCATCTTCTTCCTAAAATAAACAGTCCCAGTCTTTTCAATCTCTCTTCATATGAGAGTTTTTTAATTTACACAATTTGTGGATTATTTCTGATGTGGGCATGCTAATTTCACCTCAGCAATCTCGTTAATTCACCGTGAATCCATTCTTTGGTTAAATAATGATCTAAATAACATCATTTAGTCAGCCAAGCACTTGTGCACAGGCAACTCCAATTAAAACCAATGGGAATTTCACATGTGCAGCTGATGGAATGATCAGGCCTCTGGCATCCTGCTATTTCCTTGTAATAGTGGGAATGGAAGAAACCAAGTTGCCATTGTCTTCTCAGCTGAGGGTGAAAAAAGAAGTCTTGTTGAAGACTGCTGCTTTTAAGAAGCTGGTTCTTCCACCTCTTTAGCATAGTCACATACAATCATTCTTAAAAACAGTAGTATATTTTGTTTCTTTTCCATTTACTATCTGCTAGTCAGGTTTCCTCCACATATAACATTATATTGCTTTGCAGGTTCTCCTGGCCTTCCAGGACTGAAGGGAAGAAAAGGGTTTTTAGGGGCAAAGGGTGAACCAGGTGATAAAGGATTTCCTGGACCATCAGAAACCAGAGGGAATCCTGGGGATAAAGGAGAACCAGGATCAAAAGGTACATCTCTTTTTCTATTTAATTTGAAAACAATTCGAGACAGATCATCCAAATTACAATTCAAACAGCCTGGCGACCCACAGCTTGTGGGTTGCCAGGACTGACTTAGATTTGCTGGGCCCAGGGCCAAAGCCCAAGCCCCACCGCCCAGGGCCAAAATTGGAGCCAGAGGGCTTCATCCCTGGATGCGGGGTTCAGGTTACAGCCCACTGCCTGAGGCTGAAGCCCTTGAGCTTTGGCTTCCCCACCTATTTTCTCTTTTAAATTACTTATTACAATCCATATTCCTAAAAAGTAATATCAGTGTGATGTCATATCAGGTGTGATATGCTGGTCATATCAATAGTGTATGAAGTTTAGTCATGCGCTTTTGGTATGCATGCATTTGCAAACATTTAATAACCCATGCATGCAAAGACTTATGTGTGCCCACCCATTGGGTATTTGTGAGCAAACAGATGGAATGTGCTCACAAATACCTGATTTGCAGAGGTACACTGGTATTTGCTAGGCGCCATGCACATATCTGCACACAAGTTGCATACACTTAACCTTTTCAGTCAGGCTTGTGGTGTTATAGATGTTCAAATACTCTCTTTTTTAATTCCATATGAGAAATTATGGAAACTTTAACAGAGGGCCCTTGTATTTTGTAATGTGTTTTCTTGTAAGAGGATAACTCCAAATTAATCACTTTAGGCTCCATTTTTCCTTTTCTGATGCTTTTAAGAGATGATTTAATGATATTATGAGATACTGTTTTTAATTTTATTCCATACAATTGCTGCTATAGGATTTCCAGGAAGAATAGGTCTGAAAGGAGAAAGAGGAGATAAAGGTATACAAGGATCAGCAGGGCTTGATGGGACATCAGGAGTATCAGGTCTGCCAGGTATGCAGCATCTGCTATGAAAATTAAAAACTTACATTTCTATAGCAGCATGTTTACAGTACTACATAGACTATAGAGATGGTGGTAAGCACAAAGAAGAGTGCAAAACCATATTATTATTATTATTAATTTTATTTTATTTTATCTTATTATAACCTGAACTCTGTTAATCTACCTCTGCTGTGATTATTTCAAGCATTCCAAAATTATGAGCAGCTTCAAAAAGCTGCTAATTTAAAAAAAAAAATCTGCCCCCCAGATGTTCCCTTCTTTCTTCCCAGATGTGGAATTCCACCAGATTACATGGGTTTGATATGCAGGACAAGCAATATTAAGTCCTGACCAATGACAAGTCTAAGATCCAAATATCTCATGAGCCAGCAGTGCTAGAAATGGGTGCTTTGTACTATTGGAGAGAAGTTTGGAATCCACTGTTTTCCCAGTGGTATAAAGCAATTGTAAGAAACTTCTAAAAGTATTGTGGTATTCAGATTGATAGAAAAGCTATTTTAGATACTTTAGAAGTTTCTTATTTTAATTACAATTCTTCTCTCCCAACACATGATGTTGGGGGATGGTGTATTGAAAAGTGTTTATTTAGTCTGGATTGAGATGACGTAGTTATTAACTCAGTTGTGGCTGTGCTACTTATGAGTAGCGCAGTCTTCTCAGGTTCATGTGGATAAAAGTTTGATGCCGTATGCTGCATCACCATGTGTTCTTTTTAACTGTGTCTTTGAGATTATTTCTTTTTAGAAATCATATAATAATTAAATAAGTAAAAATATATCTGGACTTGTGCTCACAAAAATAGCCCACACCAGGCGAGAAATAGTCCATGTTAGATATCATTATTAATAGACCAAGTAGGCAACAGGAAGAGGCCAGTACCAGTAATAGGAAAAAGCAGTAACTAGCAAGAAAGAATGCTGATGCTCCAGCTGTGTCCCTCTTTTTAATGTCTCATGTAGAGCAGAACCAAATCTCGCCTGTCTCTATATGCAGCGGAACCAGCCAAAGTATGCATCGTGTCTATCAGAGACATTAGGCATATGGGTGGCAATTCTAAACTATATTAAGTTAAAAAGTCACCAAACTAAAATGTATCCACACTAACACAAGATAAGGTCATGAAGAAACTCCACAAACCACACAAAAAACGCTCAATTCCTCTCTAATCTTATTGCAAAGCATTTGGTGGATAGATAATGTAGGCCCTTGCAATGTGCCAGAAGGTCACCAGTCTCAGACCTACAAGGGAAGAAAAATCCAAAGCAAAAACAAAATCTTGATCTTTATCTCTGAAGTCCCCAATGGACTAGACTTGGGATATCACAGCTATGGAACTGCCATCCACAGGACCTAAGAATGACTGCTAACCTGCCAGTCTCCAGGTTGAAATACAAGACCCATCTCTTTGCTATGGCTTTCCAAAAACAGTAGTAATAATGAAAAATTTGTACATGTGCTGGGCAGAGGAAGAAATGTTTAGACTACTAATTGATTTATACACTTCTGAGATGCCATAGCAATGAGCATGGGAATGGATACTTTGTGCTCATGATAAATGTACCAGGTAGCCTAAATCTGAGGCACACATGTTGAGAAAATGTTGATACTTTGTCATCTGACAGGTCCCAAAGGATTTGTAGGTCTACAAGGAATTCCTGGAAGACAAGGATTACCAGGACCTCCAGGAGACAGAGGTGATATGGGAGTGCCAGGTGATTCTTTATAAAATCTTGTTACAAATTCATATACTACATAGAAATAGCTGCACACTCCCAGGAGCAGCTCCAAGGCAGAGGGCAGGAGCTGCATACGGCAGTGGAGGGAGGGACAGCTGAACTGCCCGGCAATTGATCGCCTGCTGTGCGGCTGCCGCACAGGGAACTTAGGGGAACGGGGAGCTGCTAGGGGGGCTGCTGGTCCACCCTGGTTCCAAGCCCCTACCAGCTAGCTCCAACGGGCTGCTCTTTCTGCAAGCAGTGGACAAAGCAGGCGGCTGCCAAACAACGTTATAAGGGAACATTGCGCAACTTTAAACTAGCATGTTCTCTGATCAGCAACGTAACAATGAAAAAATGTTAACCAGGATGACTTTAAGTGAGGAGTTACTGTATTACAAAAGGTGAAGCTGAAAGCTCAAATTTAATTGTTCTTGTTCTTATGCCTTATGGTCTCTTCATATCACTATGTATTTTTGTCAACTAACACAATATGTAATATTATACCAATTCATATAAGATTACAGAAGAAATTTTGTTTTACACTTTGGGCTAAATTTATTACTCTATGCACTATTTTTTAAGCGGACCTCATTTTAGCCTCAAATGATGTGCCTGCAATTAACTGGAGGTATAAATTATACAATTTAGCAGTGTGACTATCTGATTTTCCTTGTATATTAATGTTGTGCCTAACTGCTATAATTTCTGCAACTCCAATTAATAGCAGGCACAAAATAGCACCCACAGAATTCAAAGCCATTAAAAAAAATATAGGGCATCACACCAATCTTGCAAAACACGAATGACACAAAATTCACCGGAAAATGCTGGAGGAATGCCATGATATAGGAAAACTCTTCTAGGATTATCCCAAAGACTTCAGGTCTGATGCTGGAAAATTGATCCAAGAGTTATTTCAGGGATATTTTCCCCCAAACTTCTATTATTAAAGTATTAGGAAAATGTCTTGATTTGCTGAAGTTAAACGAAGACCGAACTTGTTAAGATTGCTTGTGATAGCAGCTAATAAATGCAATGTACCTTCTGTAACTCATAACCTATACTATCTCAACTCTGCAGTTTTCCCTTACTACTTTTAATTGCAACCATTTCTTTTAATATGTAAGAAAATAAAGCGTACTGTGAATTATTTGTTTTTCTTTAATGAAGAGTTGGTAACTAAAAAGATAGGCCATAAAGCATAGAAAGTATCTAGTATGATATGTAAGGATGATGCTTTTGAGAGTGATACCTATATTTGCATCACTCTAGGTTCTAAAGGGGAGAGAGGATCTCAAGGTTTACCAGGACCATCCGGTGCACAAGGCCCTCCAGGCCTTCTTGGTTTTCCAGGTGATAAAGGAGAACCAGCTAGTTCAGCATCTGGGCCTCCAGGAAAACCAGGACCAAAGGTACAGCAAGAAGACAACGGATAAGCTATGGTAATGACACAATAGGCAGCACCTTTGAATGCGGATGAAATAATCTGAAGTATAAGTAAGGGCAGAAAATTATTATGGAGCAAACTAACCCATTCAGCGTTGTAGGGAAATAATCTGCTGTTGATGAGAAATATTGAAATCCTATTCTGTCAACATTTTAGGATAAATCAATGAGTTGGGTTTTTTCCCCTGGGTCCAGGAGTTTCATATTTGTAAAGATGGAACCTTTTGGAATAATTTTCATATTTTTATTTATGAAGACTGGTCCTTTTGAGAATAAGAACTGGTGCTTACAAATATTTGCTGACTATTATCGAGTGGTACAGAAAAAAATCCATTTTTCACATGTAAAGAAAATAACAGTTTTAAAGTTGTGCTATCAGTTTTTGACAGAGTAGTAATGTCATGATGAAACATGAGTTGTTACTTTTTTAAACAGTTCAACTTTCTCTAGAAAACGTAGGCCACGTGCCTGTAATTCAATGTCACATATTCAGGCCCAGGAGCAGCTAAAACCCACTTTTTCAAAGGCAAATTAACTGTAATCTGTTTTACTTGCTGCATAAAATAATTTGAAATGTGTGGACCAGCTTGTGTGTTGTATTATACCTTAGGCATTCCATCCAATCTGTGTGTCTTGATTTTTATACCATGCCCATGCTTGTTCTATTTAGGCACCATTACTTATTATCTTGGACCTATATGTAAGAACATACAAATTATATTGGGTCGGACCAATTATCCGTCTACTTCAGAGCCTTGTTTTTGACAGTGGCCTAAACCAGATAATTCAGAGGAAGGTGGGAATTTAAAAAAAAAACCCAACTCATCTGGACCTTTATGTACAACTATATATTATGGAGAAATTAATTCCAAGCCCCCCAGAGGATGACCATTTTATATTCAGGAGCTGTTAAAACAGCTAGTGTAAATGCAGATAAAGTGTGTGTGCTGTTGGTGATGCTGAGTGTGGGGGAAAATAGAGGCCAGAGATTCGGGGAACTGCTTTGTGAGATATTTAAAATACATTGGACATGTGTTTTAGAAACTAAGATCTCTCTTTGAAACCATCAGTGGTGCATTATAAAATTTTAGGAGCAACATTTCATATGCCTACTTTGATATTTTCTGTCTGCAGATCATCTCACAACAAATAGCCATGATTATATTCACATCACCTTTAATATATGTGATTTTTTTTAAATGCTACTAATTCAATATGCATTTTAACTTAATAAAACACTTATCTAAAATGTATTTGGCTGCTGCTTCTTAGGGTGATCCAGGTCCCCCAGGAGAAATGGGAAGAAAAGGGGAAAGAGGATCACCAGGTCAGCCAGGACTTGTAGGAGAACCTGGACTACCTGGAAACAGGGGGGATTGTGGAAAACCAGGAGCTCCAGGTGAGTTTTGGTTTTGGAAAATGGTGAGATTTTACATGTTTTTAGCAAAAGGGAATCTCCAAATCTTCCAACAGAAATAACTAGTCCAGTTCCTCAGCTGATGGGAGTTGGCAAAGCACCATTGAAATTAAGGGAGCCGTGCTAGTTTACATCAGCTGAGAATCTGGTCAAAGTAAAATAATAGTAGATCTAACAAACCATTAACTCTGGATCCAGTATTGACCTGAATTCAGGGTGATGCAGCTTTTTCTTCTTTTTCTCCCAAACTCCTCCCCCCCCCCCCTTTACAGGGCCATCTAAATGTGCTGGAGATACTGGCGCTAAAGGGTGCAAGGGGGTGGCAGGACCGAGAGGCACTGAAGGCCCTCCAGGTTGGATTTTTATCCTCTCTCTCATTTCTTTCCCAGCTCTCTGCATGCTTGTTTGTTTCCTCTGTTGGCATGAGATAGTTGAGATTTTCAATTTCTTCTGAGTCTTTTGCAAATTACTTTATTTATTTTTCAAATGGAGTTCTAAGGTTTTTTAACATTTCCATCATAAAGCTATAGGTACAGTTATAAAGTTTTAGTACAGTTTTAAACCCAGAGAAAGGGTTTTTTAAATATCAGGACACTAAAGATAGCAGGGACATGTAATAGCCTCACAAGTGGTGAGAAAGGCCTGCTCTGCCTTATGGATCATTGAGATCTCCACAGTGGATGAAAAAACAAAGACTTAGCCAGAAGTAGAAAAGAAGCAATCAGAGAAGAGAGCGAAAAAGACAGAGCATGACAGTCCATTGTTAGAGTAATAGAGATCCGAACACTGATACATACAGGGAGTTCTATAAATATCTACTATACATTTTATTGAAGTGAAAACAATGGGGGAAATAGCCATTATCAACAAAATTAGTATCGAGTATTGTCATAGCCAGATTCCGGTCTCATTTACACCAAGGTAAATATGGAGTAGTGCTGTTGACTTCCATGAAATTACTTTAGATTTATACTAGTATAAGAGAGGTCAGACTCTCATTCTCACTCACTAAGCCTCAAACGCGCCATATGATCTTGGCATTGAGACCCTGTGGCCCAGATGGGGTCCCATTATTGTGATCCCATTGATGGACTGGGTCCTACAATTTCTCTGAAAGACAGAAGAAAGTAGCCTGTAAGCATAATGTGGGTCTAATCCTGAATCCATTGAAGTCCATGGGAGTTTTGCCAGTGAGTTCCATGGGAGCAGGATGCTGCACTTTACCACCATTTATACACTAGTACAGTTGTGGGGTTTTTTAATGCACCACTGTTAATAACACTTTAGTAAATGAGCATAATTTCCTTGTCATTTTGCATTTCAAACAGATAAGTAAAAATGAAAATGACAGTTTATAATTCTCAGGTGCAATAGGAGCCCCTGGAGCCAACGGAGCTGTTGGGGAAAGGGGGAATCAAGGACGGGATGGTATTCCTGGCTTCCCAGGGGAAAAGGGAGAACGAGGTACTGCAGTATAATATTTTCATGTTATTTGAAACTCATCTCCTTTCCTGTTCACAATTCTTGTCAATCCTGTGGGCTAAAAGAGGAATCCCTGAAATACAAAAATTATGTTGGTAACTAAAAGGTTTCTTTCACACTTCACAAACTTTCTGTATGAATTTTGCATAGGACATCAAAATACAGTATATACACATGGCTCCTGCATGACATTTCTGGGTCATTGTGATCATTACATAATCCATTTTAATGTCTACTTCTACAAAGATAAGGGTATTGCTGCTAACATCTTAGGTGGCCTCAAAAAGAGTTAGAGATTTTACACCTTTATGATGAAGCAATAGCCTCAACTTCTAGATAGAATAAGAACTTAGAAGCCAATCTTGGGTTTACTCATATGAATAAAATTACTTACCTGCCAACATCTTTGCAGGATCCAACCCTTTAACTCTCAAATCCTTCAGTTAGATGCTCTTCCTCTTTTTCCCCAGCAGCCACAGAAAGTTACAGTTCTTCCTCATTGACAGAAGAAAAGTGTTTTCACATTTTTAGCCTCAAGTTGCTTTTTTGTGTGTTAGTACAAAAACAGATATTCAGTATTATTTCTTCATATCAAGTTCTTAATAACGACTGGCATATTATTTTCACTTTTCACATACTTAAGTTTCTTTTCTCATTTTTCTTAGTCGCTGATTTAAAACAAATGCAGTGGTTTTCCTGGTGTGTGTGTGTGTGTGTGTGTGTGTGTGTGTGTGTGTGTGTGTGTGTGTGTGTGTGTGTGTGTAG